ATAAAAACATGCCCAAAGCCTTGCTCTGACTCATTCATGCATGTTTGAGAAATCCTGCAGTGTTTTTAGGAAGCCATGCTGAGGAGCAAAACAACAGGTGGGGACCAGAAACACCCCTGGGATGTGTCTTTAAGCCAAACCTCCTCATCACGGAGCACACCTCCCCACCCCACACGCCCCGCCCATGACTCCTGCAGGCTCTCAGCAGTAACAAAGCAAAGTGAAAGTGAAACTTAAATTGTCTGCTGCTCTCAACACTACTTCTCACTTAGTGAAGGCCCTTTCAGATTCAAAATACCTTTGAGGAAATGTATTTTCTGATGCCAAGTAAACTGCACCATAGCGCACACGCGCACTGAACGGGACGGGACAGAAGCAGAAGGTGGTTCTTAAAGAGACAGAGGCCAATTTCAAGGCGTTTAGAAGAGGAAGTGATGAGAAGATGAGTTTATTTTCTATTTAAACATAAAACAGCATTTTAATAACAACTAAAGGTGACATGGATACTTTATTATGGTATAGTATTTAAATATATGCATGAGAAACGCATAATATTGCCCTTTTAAATATTTAGATTTTAATAACCATCTTCAGCATTGTTAGCTGTTGTTTTTGTTGCAGGATATTGACATCACAACAAAAGCTGAGCACCAACAGAAAAGGCTGTGTTCCACCCTGAATTCTTAAATCAATCAGCTGCAACGTGTATAATTTGACTTTTACATTTAGATTTAGGATTTAACATTTATACATAACATTTAATATTTAAAAGTTTACTACATATAGTAAAAATTAGTTAAATGTAAGAACAGTGAGCTAAATAATAAAATGTTAGTGGAAGTTTCAAAGTAGGATTTTACACTCAGAATGTGAGCTAAATAATGAAAATGTGGTAGTGACATTTTATAACTTTTATTTTACACTTGGCGCCCCATACCTACAATCAGCTCAATTTACCTTTCAGCTGCATTTATCCAGTCTGAGTGACAGTTTGATGTCCTTGCTGTAGTGAATCCTGGTATGGTGGAACTGTGAGTTCACGTCTTGCTAATGTTTAGCTTGATGTCACCCATGTAGAGGAGGTGACATATGGTTCCACTTTAAAACCAGTATCCATAGGCACTCCATCTAGTACAGTTTACATCAGTTTTACCATCTTACTTTATGCGAGTCACTTCTTCCAAGATAATGGCCTTATTGGCCCGTGTTTGCCTCATTGTGACCCACAACTGGACTCGACTTGTTTGTCGTCAGTGTCCAGTGCAACGTCAGGTTTCAGGCAGTGACTGACACGATCCACTCAGTGTTGGAGGTGATGTCAGTCACAGTGTGACCGACTGGAGACAGAGCAGCAGCACTGGGCTTTTTCTCTTCTCTTTCAGTCTTACAGGGTCTCAAAATGAGGTATTTTCTTTAATCACTGACTTTTCTTTGATGTATAACAAAACTAACAGTTAACTAATGTGAATGGTGATTCWGCATTTTCACTACTGCATTCTAGTTTCTTATTTTTCTGTATGATTTTTTTGTAATTGTCTATTCTGTATACTTATTATTTTAACCATTCTTACACCAAAGCAGTCAGCTCATTTAGGAGATGAGTGATATAAGATTTAGTTTTAGTAACTTTCATACTTTTTAAAACATTTACCTTTATGTTAAAGTGTTTTGCCAATAGAAATAGATTGAGATGTCTTGATTTTCCTAAAAAAGCATTGTTCTCAACAGCAATCTGCTTTAGAAAATATAAATAACCTTTATTCTCCCTCAGTGGGAAAATTCAGGTGTACCATCAGCGAAGTGAAAGGCAAACCAAAGCATGCAGATTCACTCAAAGGTAAAAATACAAAAACAGAAAATATGAGGAAGAGACTGTACTGTAACTTGTGCTTATTTTAGTTTTTACCTAATGTTCTGCTTCTTCTAGCTTTACCAACTCTGTTTCGTTGCTTTTAGCAGCTTTCAGGAGTTATTCACCAATTGCAAAAAAGGCTGTGTCCAAAACGACAGGCCGGGTCCTCCGGAGGACCCAGACTCCCCGGTCGCGG